GCGCGACGCGTCGCGACGGGCCTAAACGTCGAGGAGGGTTGTCAGGTATATCCTCCGACCGCACCGTGCCTCTCCCACCACCTCTGATTCGGCGAGAACTCGGCAAGGGTGACACCCACCCCTCGAAAAAAGCCCTTCGGGGGGTGAGTTTCCGGCTTTCGAGGTCGACAGCTCCGGCTCTACCAACTACAGTCACTCAACGGCCTGTCGGCATTACGGTTCTTCCGACCCCCGTGCTTTTCACAGCTGACTCTTTATCGCCGCGCCGTTCCCTCTCGATACGGATCTTCTTGGTGGACCACGTTCTTCCTGTCCCGAGGAAGATGATTTAAACGGTTCCCTCGACCCGCCTTACCGGTCAATCGTCTTCCGAGTGTCGCTGTCCCGAGGACATCTCTCCGAGAGACGCGTGGACGCTCGTTATGTGCGCGACACCGTACGCGAACAGTATCGTGTGATGTTTGTAACGCGGTGAGTGAGACGATCAGTGTGCGTGGTGTATCATCTTTTGGAAGAGGCTCGAGGAACAGTCCGGAGAAGAAAGCGGACGAACCAGCATCGATCGCCGAAGAAACGATGAGGCTTTGGGTGATTATCGGCGCCCTCGTGGTCGCGATACACGCGTCCATCGCGGAAATCACCAGGAACAAGAATCGCGGCAGAGGATCCATGTGGTGGTAAGTGACTTTTATTCCGTAACGATCCGAATTTTCGCATCTCGAGTAAGAATAGGTATCGCCGACTTAACCGCGCTTTACTACAAAGATAGTTCCTTGTTTATTCGCCGCAAACTTACGCGTTGTTCCAAGTAATTTTCGAAAATCCTGCCCGGAATACATAAAAAGTCCACGTTATTCGTCGAAAAAAAGGTGAATCATAATTTCGTTGTCTCGGTAGGGCCCCTCGCGTTCTCGTCACGACCTTTGACAGTTAATTACCAGTCGCGTTAACACCTGTCTCCGGAAGGCACTCTTATCGAGCCAACGGTGGCACCTAAGACCGCGCGGCTTCTTATTAATTCATTAATCATAAACCTTCGGGTCCATTCGTTTCAATTCGCCAATGATTTCTGCGCGTAGCATGCCGCGGCTACAAGAAAACACGTTGGATAGATATTAGATAATGGCTAACTTCATTAGCCGGGTAATAAATAATGGTCACGGGTACGGTCGAGCGCGCGTGTGTACACGTGTGCGAGCGGTCGTTTAACAACCGAAAGAGATAGCCGCGGAAATATCCACGTAACGATAAACTGCCGGCGATAAATCAGTCGGCTCTTGGACGGCTTTTCCAACCGCGTTGATTTAAGACACGGCCACGCACGTCGAGTAATTATTACCTACGAATTAATTAATCTAATGCGACGGTAAATTCGCGTCGGACGGGGCTGCCATCGAATTTCGCGGTCGGCATTAATTTATCGTGGCTCGGCGAAAGGCTGACTCGGAGATCGTGACTTTTCGGTGGATTTATGTTCGGAACAGCTTGTCGTGCTTTCTCGACTAGATATCGCGAGCAAAATCGCTCGTATATTCGCTGGTAATAGGGGATTACTTATCGAGTTAAGAAACGACGTACGACGATTCTGGGTGGTCTTGTTCGACATCGATCACCGAACTATTCGGAAACCGTAACTCACTAGTCCAACCGACAACGAAAATTAGGAAGTTACGAAACTTTGTATGCAAATGGAGCACTTGATCCGTACCGAATACTTATTTTTTACCGGTGCCACTGTCGTGGATAATCGCGAAGATATTTCGAAATAAAACATCATCGAAGCTAGGATTCAATAACGGTCTTTTGTCATTGCGAACGCGTGCCATCGAATCGTTATTAGCCCTCTACGCTCTATAAATTATTTTCGTTGCGGTGGCGTGTCCGTTGGCACGTAACACGTGGACGGGTTAGAAGAAGGAGAAGAAGAAGAAGAGAAGAATGGTTCCACAGATTTTCTGCTCCGACGTAAATTACGAGCAATAGAAATATCCTAACCGGTCCAATGCATCGTTCATTTACGATGGTTGTTTATCGAATGCATCGTACGTATTCCCGTATTTGCAACGCGCATGCGCGACCGTGAATTCTGACTGCGCGGATTTTTAGGCGCGCAGTATAAACAGAGATATTACTATCTCTGTAGCGGAATAATTCGTTTATTCCTATCGCGAAACCGGTGACGAGAAATCATTGTCGTTACAAGACGAGAAGCGGTCTTTCGATATGCGATCGTGCTCCGCTCCGGAACAGAGATTCGGGTTCGTTGGTTCCTGTTGCTGGCCAATGTAACGCAACGTAACCAACGTTTTTACGAGCGACCGCATCGTAATTCGGTTTATTTACACGGCTAGGAGAGTGTCAACGGAAAATCTCGTTGGTCCTCGCTGGTGCCTGGTTGCTGTCTCTGCTAGGCGTCACGAGGCTACGTTGACAACGAACCGTCGACGGAGATCCAACGACAGTGATTAGCTGTTTATTGTGCACGGCGATGAGCGATCCGATCCCTACCAGTGCGAGCTATTTTTTGATTCGACGATACTCCGTTCAACCAAGAGTAACGTATTTTGCTCCAAATCCTTTAAACACGCTCCGGAAACGTTCCCGTTACCGTAACGAAAAATTACGCAGTCTGTTCTTCTCTAAATTTTACAATTATTGCATATTATCGATATGCACACTCGCTACCCTCCTAATTCTAATAATACCAACAAATAAGACGAACGACGAGGATCATTCTTGAGCAATGATTTCGAAGCGGTCCGAAAGTCGCGATCCTCGGACGTTTCTCTCTATAGTTTGCACGTTCTTCCCACGAAAGGGACGCGAGCAGAGCGCTGTTAAGCGTTTTTCTGCGCGACGCTCGATCGATCGAGACGCGAATTCTTTCGCAGGCAGAACTCGCGCGGCAGCTTGATTTATATATACCTCGGCTACCGTTGACCGAAACTGTTGAACCAGTTTCGTCTTTCGAACTAATCCTTCTCCAATGCTCCTTCTCTTCTCCTCTGTCTCCTTACCCTTTCTGTGCTGCTCCTACGTACCCTTTTTCTTCCTTTCTTCTTCGTCTCCTCTTTCCACTGTTACTCGAGGCGCTTCAAAGCGTATCGTTTTTGCGCGTAAACCAAATTAGCGTCGAACGAACGCACGAGAAATGCCAATTCCGCCGGACTATCGACGCGCGACCGAACGAATCGCGGCTCGCGACGTCCTTTAACCCTCTCGCCCTGAGCGACGCCGAAGGCCTATTAATAACGACACGAGCAGTTGGTTAATCGCCACGGAAGAGGTTCATTCTTCGAGACTTTCTAGACCTCTCTTTTTTTCTCGTCACAGTTTGTTTCTCGTTGCGCTCTATATCTACGTTTTTGAACAAGCAGCGCGTTTAACAGGTTGAAACGTGGCTGTCGCTGTCAAAGCTCGTCACTGACGCGACGCGTGTTTGAAAACGCGTCTTTCGCGCGGTGTCTGCCGGATTCGAGCGAGTGTTCCTCATCGGACATTCTCCCTAGTCTTCGAATCGGCTACGAGAACATGCGGTATCGACTGATTTTTAACGAACAAATGACTTCTCCGATAGTTCGATTAAAAATAAATTTCGAGAAATAACTGCAGGGTATAACCACGTACCGAACAGAAGGATGATTATCCAGCGAGCTAGACGTATCTAACTCCATCTTTCTCTTTTTTCTTGTCAGGGGAATCGCCAAGGCAGGAGAACCGAACAATTTTTTGCCAATGTCTCCGGCATCCCTGCACATGGATCCCACGGTGTACGCGACCTTGAGGAGAAAGCAACGAAAACTGGCCAGAGAAAACCCAGGAGTCCTGATGGCTGTGGCCAGGGGTGCGAATCAGGCGATCGCCGAGTGTCAACATCAGTTTCGCAATCGTCGATGGAACTGTTCCACCAAGAACTTTCTGCGTGGGAAAAATTTGTTCGGAAAGATCGTCGACAGAGGTGAGCCAATCAGATTTTTCCTTTCTCTTTGCTCCTACTTCTAACCGCGAGCTGTTCAGATGAATCCGACTTATGTTTACCTCTATCTCTCCAATATTGTACACTGTCGATGCACGAGAAGGAATTTTTTTCAACGATCGATTTATTTCGTAAAACGACACCGAGTCACCGAGCTGAGACCTCCGTGGCGTTTTTGTTCGACCGCGATCGAAGCGACAGATGTTTAATAATCGATTCAAATATCGAACAAATGACCAAAAAGTAGAGAAACCGCATCGAAGCGAGGTTGCCGAGCACGGAGGAATCGAGATTCGCGATAAAACGATTTATACCTGTATAGATATACGCGTATATAACGGACCATAAGGTGGACTCGTTCCACGTTCGAAAGAAAAAAGGAACAGCCCATTGTCCATGGCCGTCTCCGACAACCGGTATTCTCGATAGAGATTTACAGAAGACGAGTTTCGTGAAAAGAGACGGAACGACGTCGAATCGACAAGAGGGAAGAGAAGCAGAGGGTGACAGCGCTCTCGTGGTCCTCTCGAAATCGCGAACGTGCAATCTGTCGATCCGAATCGACGACGCAACAACGACGAGCTTATCTCGAGTCGCGTAGAATGACCAACATGAAAAGACGTCGTTGTCTTTGGATGATCGTTAACGACGTCATCGTAAACGAGACGATCAACCGAATAAACTATATACGACCTACTCGAGTTTCAGCTTGGGTAATATCGTTAGCCGATCGATTCGTGAAGCACCGTAAAAAGCCAATCCCTTTCGGCCGCATAATTAAAGTACGACTAATTGGATCACGGTTAGTTAGTTGTACACGATAATTTGTCGTATCGTAAATCGGTCACGGATGCGTAAGCTTCTCTAACGTTCTTTTCGTTGTGCTCGAACACGTTATTAAACTGTAGATCACGGGCTACGGTCTTAATTACCGCGAACGAGAAACATGTCCATAGATTTTAACACGTGCCATCGAAAGCAGGAGACACTGTGGAGAGAGATGTTTCGAGGGATGAAATTACGTCGTTTAACGACTTTTTTCATCCACGAAAGGGTGAAAAAATCGTAGATCGATCGCAGGACCGTGTCGAGACCGGAAGATTATTCGAAGTCGTCGAAGGTACGGAGTGTCGAGTAGGGGTTGCATTAGAAGCAAGGATCAGAGGACAGGCACCGGGGGATATAAAAGGGGCGTGCCCTTGGTCCGAAGGCCCCGGGCACGTGCCCTCACCGACCAGATGTATGTTTTGCAACCTGATAATGGACCTTCTCGTACCAGTTTCTGGCTCCCCTGCGGCTCTTTTAGATCTCGTCCGAGCGATTGTAAGAGGAGCTTTTTCGCTCGGCCCGCTCCCGCCCCATCGCGTTCAGTGTCCCCATATGGCCACTTATCGCGGTAGTAAAACCGAAAAAAAGAATCACGGGATACAAAATAGCGAAGAGGAGGAGATCGCACGCGCGCGTTCTTCTCACCAGCAGCTCGCGTAACCCTTGCTTCGCGACGCTACCCTTTACCGCTCTTTTTATGTTCTTTCGCATAAAACTTCTCCGACAACGATTGTGCCGATCTAACGAAAAGAGGACAATTTCGTCGTTTCATCGAATGACATTTTTTAATACTGTCGAGTCGAACGCGCTAATTTCATTACACAGGAAATAACCGTTAATTTCTGTGTATTTGCATGGGAAATCTATTTTTAGACGACCAACCGTTTAGCGCCAGTCTTCGGAAGGTCTAATTTTAGACGATACCGTGCTAACTGTTCAAAACCATCGAGGATGCGTTTTCTCTCTTCCTTCTCTCGCTCTTCCAGTTTTATACGTACTCCACGTTTCGAAATATTAGCTCGGTGCATCCTACTCGATACACTTATCGGAAAATTTCCGTGCTTCTGAATCTACTTGGAATAATCGCCACTACTTGATACGTGGTTCGAGCAGGAGCGCGATACAGCCCAATGTAGAAAACAAAAGAGACATCAACGAGACATTCCTCGACGTACGGACGAAGAGGGCCTCGACCTTTCACCCCTCGCGATCGTCTCGGCCGAACGAGGACCAGTTTCTATCTTCGTGCGTATCCGTCCTCTGTTCGTCTTGCCACGTTGCTATCTTTTGTCTCGTCGAACCGATCCTGCGCGTAGATTAGATCCGTGAGGGGAGGCTCCTAGGGGAAACTCGGATCGCTATCGTCGATCCGTAATACGCTCGCGTACTCGTCGTATTTGAGGATCGTGAAAGGGGATCGTTGGCAGACTGGTTGTCGCGCGCCAAACTAAACGGTCGTTTCCGGATTATGCGAGCTTACCCGATTACAAGATTACCCGTCGTGTTCTTTTCTTTTGTCGCTTCCCTACGATTCGCTAATGTCCATTCGTTTCATCACGGTTCAACGGCGAGTTCTTTTCGCGCATTCGTTTCGATAATACGAAAACGAGAAGAAACATCCTGAATAGCGTTACTGTCGCGAATTGATAGTTTCAATTTGTACGTTAATCCTCGGAAATGAGAGGCTCGGCGCGCGCCTGCAAGCTCGCGTGCATTTTCACCGAAGCAGCGAACGCGTTAATAAGTAGAGCAGTTGTCCGACAAGTAGAAGATTCCATTAATTCGTTCGATCGCGGTTCTTTCTTGCTTACGATATCGTGATTCTCCAACTAAACGTACGAAGCGTGCGTTCGAGTCGAAAAGAACGAAACTCCTCGATACTTTTGGAAGTGTTTGTACTCGATATTATAGCTGGTAGTGAGTAGGTTCGCGGCCTGTAATCATTTCGCCGCCAAGAGCCACCTACCGCATCGGTCTCTACCCTCGCTTTCGTTCGTTCTCGTCTTCCTCTTTCGTTCTCGGCTGACCATCTCTTCTCCTTTACCCCACGGCGAGCACCGTTTCAACGTGTTCGTCTCGCGTGGAAGCCGAGCCAAGTTCCGCAGGCTAATTGCTCGGTAAACTGCGAATCTCGCGAGCCTCGGGTGCTGCGTTCACGTTTTTCTTCGATTTCACGGGACTGTCTCCCCTGTGACCCCTCGGTTCATCGGGCGGGAATCGACGTCGGACGTGACCGACGAGGAATATCGAGGCAAGAAAATTCGTATTTCGATCGTATCAAAAATTAATTTGCTTCCAAGCAAAGACCGCGTCCGTTGATTGGTACAATGTTCGATACCGGTTAAAAAAAAATAAATTCGATCGATATCGATGGATGGTGGCGCGCGACGCGCGGCTCGCGTCTTATACGGAGGACCAGGTTGACTTTTTGCCACGGCGTTACGCCGCCATAAATCGCGGCCTATGATGGGCTACATGTGTCGACGGCACGCCACGATTTCTTGCGAAAACGTGAGTCGCGAGTCAATGGGCCTGTGTCCTCCCGTATCCTTCCTCGTTGCCTCGTCCCATCAGTTCGTGATTTTTACATCTTGTTTTTTTTCCACGCTCGGGTTACGGGTTCCCGTCGCGAACAGAACTACGGCCTATATGGCGGTCGCGTTTTCGCACCCGCTTCTCCTCTGCCCTTCTTTCTGCGCGACTCCCTTTTGCATTCAACGGACACGCACGTAGCCTCTGGTCGAATGCACTTTTTCTTGGTCGGACTTTCAGGGTGAACGTGACGTTCGATAACGTTTCGTTAATAAACATCTAAGGATTTTTTCTTACGGTAATTCGGTGGTCCGTGTCGAGTCAGCGGTTCCAGGAATTGGCAAATGTAGCTAGCGGTGTAGTCTTGCGTCTTGCGGTCAGTCGGTGACCAGGACGATTAATCATCTTTTGACGTAATCGTTAGCTCTGTACGTTACCAACGTACAGATTGCCGAATTCTTTAAAACCAAATGTAGCGAGAACGTTACACACGGATGTATCTATCAGTGTGAGAAACGTCAAGAATACTTTTCTCCCGGACTCGGCTTACAGCCAAAAATCTCAAACAGTATTAACTGTAATATTTTTTGCTTCGCTTTGCGGAACAGGTACGCGAGCCAGGAATTTCCCAACGATGCGACCGGCTGTTTGCCTTGCGGCAACGAGCTGCGCCTCCACCTTGCTCGTACTATTTGCACGAGTCGATAAAGCGAACGTCAAACCGTTTATCGCGCACGGAAACGACAAAGCGTCGAAGCGGTCGTCGCGCGTTGCCCGTCCGCGAGGACAAATAACGCATCTCGGGATTATCCTTCTCTCCGTGCTTTTCTTCGGTTCTGTTCTTTTTTTTCTCTGTTCGCGACCGCGTCGATAACCATTTTTCTCGAGAACCATTCTCGTTACGTTCCTTATCTCTGCGTCATCCGGCTGTTTGAAGATCGCCGACGAGGAATATCGAGGCAAGAAAATTCGTATTTCGATCGTATCAAAAATTAATTTGCTTCCAAGCAAAGACCGCGTCCGTTGATTGGTACAATGTTCGATACCGGTTAAAAAAAAATAAATTCGATCGATATCGATGGATGGTGGCGCGCGACGCGCGGCTCGCGTCTTATACGGAGGACCAGGTTGACTTTTTGCCACGGCGTTACGCCGCCATAAATCGCGGCCTATGATGGGCTACATGTGTCGACGGCACGCCACGATTTCTTGCGAAAACGTGAGTCGCGAGTCAATGGGCCTGTGTCCTCCCGTATCCTTCCTCGTTGCCTCGTCCCATCAGTTCGTGATTTTTACATCTTGTTTTTTTTCCACGCTCGGGTTACGGGTTCCCGTCGCGAACAGAACTACGGCCTATATGGCGGTCGCGTTTTCGCACCCGCTTCTCCTCTGCCCTTCTTTCTGCGCGACTCCCTTTTGCATTCAACGGACACGCACGTAGCCTCTGGTCGAATGCACTTTTTCTTGGTCGGACTTTCAGGGTGAACGTGACGTTCGATAACGTTTCGTTAATAAACATCTAAGGATTTTTTCTTACGGTAATTCGGTGGTCCGTGTCGAGTCAGCGGTTCCAGGAATTGGCAAATGTAGCTAGCGGTGTAGTCTTGCGTCTTGCGGTCAGTCGGTGACCAGGACGATTAATCATCTTTTGACGTAATCGTTAGCTCTGTACGTTACCAACGTACAGATTGCCGAATTCTTTAAAACCAAATGTAGCGAGAACGTTACACACGGATGTATCTATCAGTGTGAGAAACGTCAAGAATACTTTTCTCCCGGACTCGGCTTACAGCCAAAAATCTCAAACAGTATTAACTGTAATATTTTTTGCTTCGCTTTGCGGAACAGGTACGCGAGCCAGGAATTTCCCAACGATGCGACCGGCTGTTTGCCTTGCGGCAACGAGCTGCGCCTCCACCTTGCTCGTACTATTTGCACGAGTCGATAAAGCGAACGTCAAACCGTTTATCGCGCACGGAAACGACAAAGCGTCGAAGCGGTCGTCGCGCGTTGCCCGTCCGCGAGGACAAATAACGCATCTCGGGATTATCCTTCTCTCCGTGCTTTTCTTCGGTTCTGTTCTTTTTTTTCTCTGTTCGCGACCGCGTCGATAACCATTTTTCTCGAGAACCATTCTCGTTACGTTCCTTATCTCTGCGTCATCCGGCTGTTTGAAGATCGTAAAATCTTCGAAACAGATGATCGCACGAGTCCGACTCTTTTGAAAGTCGCGAGGTTCGTGGGACGCGGCCGTCGCGATGATTTCATCGCGGCTTTCGTCGTTTCCGTGAGAAAATTCCTTTCTCTTCTTCGACTCCATACTTTTAGTCTTTCGGTCGTTACGCGCGAACGCCTTCCAATGACGTTCGGCAATTGACCGAGTGCTAAGGGCTCCAAGGATGGGAACAGGGACCTGTCGAAGGATAGAAGACAACGTTGCGCGAGCCCGATTTTCGACGACTCGCGGAGAGAACTCCCACCAGCCGTATAATCCTCTCGGTTATGCCAGTCCCGATGATGAGGAATAATATCTGGAACCGATGAAATTTCGAGGATACTGCGTCTCGAGGATTGGACGCGGTAACAGGGTGGAACGGCGTAAATCTTGCTTCCTCTCGGGTTACCTCGGGACTGGAAAGCGTCGCTTCCGTCGACCGCCGTTAGCCTCCGGTCTTCACCTTGGACAGGGATTAGGTGGAAATCGTTTCTTTCTTTCCTTCCTTTCCTCCTTTCTTCCGTGATTTCGCTTACCACCGGGAGCGATGCCAGCACTCACGAGGAAAACATTCGTGACGAATTTGGATCTCGCTTGGAAATTTGACGCGGTCGATTATCTCTTTGCTGCACCGGTTTCTTTTCTCTCGGTTCCAGCCTATTCCCTCGGTTTGACGTCTCATTTCGAGCCTGCTTCTCGGACTTTTTCACCTGGCTCATTCGTCGAGTCGGTGATACCATTTGTCGCTCCGTGGAACGTTATAGCTTGCCATTATCCACGCGATCATAAAGGTACGTTTCTACGAGACGGTAAAAATTCTCACCGTCGCGACGTCGCGTCACTTTAAAGCGCGCGTTTTCGATAATTACGAGAATTCGTTATCGCGACGACGCGATTTTCGCTTTTCACGACAGCGAAAGTCGCGAAATTCGTGTTACGATTTTAAAAGCGACGATTTACGGTCACGTGGGAAAGTACCTTAAAGGTGGCAATTTGCGAAACGACTCCTCCTTAATCTCTCTCCGTTGTCTTTGGTGGCTCGCGAAGGTGCTTTAGCTGGTCGCAAAGGTGCCGGCACGCACCTGCGCCTTATGCAGATAAGGTCGAGGTGGCTGTCGGGTCAGCCTACTCGGGGTTAAGGTCGTGTTCTCCCCCTCTCCCTCTCTCTCTCTCGCTCTCTTTCTCCGTGGCCGGCCAGGTTGCAGCACGTCCTTCCAGGTTCCTTCCACACCTGCGCGTAGGAGATCTCGCGCGCAGGTAGTCCAAGGATTGAGACGTTGTTCCCTGACGTCACCTCCCACGTTACCGGCCACCGCAACATTTTTGTTCGTCGTTCGACTTTCCTCTCGCCGTTGCAGTTTCGATATTTTCTTAGCTCGGTTTTTCTAGGTTGACGCTTTCGCTAATCGCTTAATTAGAAACATTGAAATTACGGATAATAGAAATACCGTAATGTCACGAAAATAATGGACTACCAGTAATTCCTCTCGTAGGAAGTCGAAGAAAGCAACGCGTGACGTTCGACGACGATAGCTTAACGTTTTTTTGTTTTACGCGATGTTACAGGTTGTCGAGAGACCGCCTTCATATACGCCATCACCAGCGCGGCTGTGACTCACAGCATCGCGCGAGCGTGTAGCGAGGGCACCATCCAGTCGTGTTCCTGCGACTATACCCACCAATCGCGACCACCATCCGCCGTGAGGGACTGGGAATGGGGTGGCTGTTCCGACAACATCGGCTACGGCTTCAAGTTCTCCCGCGAATTCGTCGACACCGGGGAACGGGGACGGAACCTGCGCGAGAAGATGAATCTGCACAACAACGAGGCGGGTAGAGCGGTAAGCTTCTATTCCTCTTCGCCACGAACCGTTTTGGACCGGCCAAGCTTAACGATCAACGATATAGCAGGAATCGTAATACGTTTCTCGTTTGTCGCAGCACGTGTCATCGGGGATGCGTCAAGATTGTAAATGTCACGGGATGTCCGGTTCCTGTACCGTGAAGACCTGTTGGATGAGGTTGCCGAACTTCCGCGTGGTCGGTGACAACCTGAAGGATCGATTCGACGGCGCGTCTCGGGTGATGGTGAGCAATTCGGATCGCGTGCGAGGCAACGGGAACGCGATCGTCAGCAACTCCGCGAGTAATTCGGTGCACGGGCACCGGGACGGTCTCGGTCGTCGACACCGGTACAACTTCCAGCTGAAACCTTACAACCCGGAGCACAAACCACCCGGGCCGAAGGACCTGGTCTACCTGGAGCCTTCGCCGCCGTTCTGCGAGAAGAATCCGAAGCTCGGCATCTTGGGCACCCACGGCAGACAGTGCAACGACACAAGCATCGGCGTCGATGGCTGCGATCTCATGTGCTGCGGCAGGGGCTACAAAACGCAGGAGGTGACGGTCGTAGAGAGATGCGCCTGCACCTTCCATTGGTGTTGCGAGGTCAAGTGTCAACTCTGTAGAATCAAGAAGACGATACACACGTGCCTGTAGTCCTTCTAACGTTTCACCGGCGAAGAGACTACCCCCTTCCGGGCGAAGGACGTGTCCGTAGTCTCTCGTAGGCAACGAGGTGATCGTATTCCCATCGCGTCGACGTGTACTTTTTCGATCTGTAACCCTCGATAATGAAACCCTCGATAATGAAATAACGAAACACCGACGCGATGCATACTCGGAAAGTCGCGACGACTAACGAAAGGGTGATCTTCGAAACGATCGTAGGAGGGTCTCGTTCGTTCGGGGTCTTCCCCGTCTCCCCAGTATTACGCGAAACGATCGAGAGACCATGCGAAGACTGACACGCCGAGAAACGTTGGACGGTTCGCGATCGTAAGCTTTTTAGGACGGTAGATGTAAATCGGCGGATCCTCGTGGTCTTTTCTTTTTTTTTAACGTTGTACATACGATAATCGTTTAATTTTTACGCGAGTACGTTCCCTTTCTTTTTATCGCTTCGAAACAACGAGCTTCGAACTTGCACGTGCCTCTCCTTCTAGATCGACGAAACGCGTGCGAGATTCACCAGATTCGTTATTTATTCCGATCTTTATGGCTCGCGTTCTTGTATATACATATAGATGGTAGTTATATAAATATATATATATATACATATATATATATATATATATATATATTATTTTTTGATATCGTGCGAGGAAAAACCTCGTTGTAAATAAAATAAATTGACGTCGAATCGAGACTAGCCGACGCTCCGCGTTCGGTACTCGTAAATTATTTTTATACGTCTCTTCCCGTGCGCTTGTTACGCTCACGCACGCGCGGCATTATCGCACAGGCTTGGAAGAATTCGTTAGCCCAGTGTTTTAGACGATCGACTCTTTTCTCGTTTTGAGAAAACGGTGATTATGGTATTCGTACGCACAACAAACGTGTTTTTTTGTTTTTTAATCGACTTTTGTAATTTATAAAGACGAACGAGTAAGGAGAGGAAATAAAAACGACTACAAAGTTGACTGATTTGCGAAAGCTTCTTTTAATCCTATTCTCCCATTTAGCAGAACTTTTCGCGTTCCCCGTCTTCGCGAAGTCGTACGAGTGAAAAAAAAAACCGCTTAATCTCTAGAACCTAAACGAACCTAAACGGCGTCTTCCTTATCTCTCTTTCTCTTTTTCTTTCCTACCGCGATCATTTCGCGAACGAATTTCTTGTTCGGTCGCAGACGGAACGATGCAGAGTCCTCGCGTAGAGCCGTATCGACGTCTCGGGGTTACACGAGGGCCGTATCCTCGCGAAATATAGCAACCAACTGGTTCTCCAGTTGGACGACTTCATAACTCCTTTACCGGGCGAATATCGTGGGAGGCCCGTGCCTCGAATAAGACTGGTTCGACTCTCTCCCTTTGCTTCTTCGCCGTCGTTTCCCATCGCGTTCTTTCCTCCTACGTTTCTTCGTGGCTGTGTGCTGCACGCGATGATAACGAACGAAGGAATCCCGTAGGAATCTCTGTACGGGATAAAAGGATTCTGACCGCATACGAACAGGCATTCGCGCTAATGGTTCCGACGCTCCTTTTGCCCTCTTCCTCTTCTTCCTCGTCTCCTTCGCTGTCCTCCTTCTTTCCCAACGATCGGCATTTCCACTTGTAAGCGCATTCCGTGGCGAGTTCTGCGCGGGGTGAGTCGATAACGTGTGCTTTGACCTGGACTCGGAGTTCGATTTCGGTAGCAACGAACGAACAAAGATTCTTTTCGCTTCGAGCGCGAAAATTCATCTCGTTAGATCCATAAACGTTATTTAAAGATCAATTTCGAGCAAAAGTATCGATCGATGGATTGGTCGTAAGAGAAAAGAACGCGGTAAGTCCGAGGGACGATCGCGCAACGGGCCGTGCGCGCGATGGAATCAGGTGGCACCAGGAAGGGGGTAGGTTGACCGTGATACTAAAACAAATTCTTCGGTGCGCGAGAGGGGCTCCCAGCATCCCGGCAGACAAGAATCTCGAGCAGCCGGGCCACTTCTCACGGCGGCTGCTTTGATCTCGACCGACCACCCCCTCGTCTCCATCACGGTCACTCGAGCAACGGCAGCGCGACCGCCTCCCTCGGCAGCGAGCCTTTTTACCCGCTTCTGCTCTCGTCGCCTCTTTTTTCCCCTCTCGTGGATGAAACGGGTCCACGACGGGCCCGAAAACCGGCGAGATATACCGGACCAAGGTGGGTTCATTCAGTTTTACTATTATTACGCATACCGTCACGCGTGTGCAGCTCGTTCCACGCTGCGGAATGTTCTAGAATCATAGGGGGCGCTACGAGATTCTCGAACGTTGGCGCTGCGTTTACGAGCCGTTCCTCGAAACCAACGCGTGCCATTTTCTGTACCGCGAAACGGCAACGTTTCATCTCGCGAAACGCAGAATAATATTTCGAGGAATTCCAAATTAGCCGAAAAATCGAACGGTTCTCCCAAGTGACCTAACCGAAGAAGGAGAATAAAGCGAAAAGAAGAAAGCTGTCAGGTTGAAGAATACGTTTAATACGTGGACGAAAAACGGGGTAGGGTCGACGACTTTAAACGAAAAAAGACGACGAACGAGCAAAAGCGGAGCGGTCTTCTCACAGTCTCGCGAGAGAATTCGTCTTGTTCGAGAAGCTCGCTCGCATCTGGCTCATTATGCTCGACGAATACGAAATTCAATCCACGAGGTTGACAATCGAGGTCCCCCGAGAGACACAGCGGCTCGCGTCACTCCGTGAACAGGACCCCATCAGGGATGCCACGCGCGTGTGATCGGCCGCGACGCGCCGCGTGCCGTTTCGCCCGCCTTCCACTGCCCCGATTTTATCCTTCTAACCGAGACTTCTCTCGATCCCCGAATTCAATTTTTCTTTCTCGACTGCTTTTTTTACCTTCGATCCTACCGAATAATTTACCGAGTATCGCGATAAATCATTTTATTCTTTTAACGCGCATTCGAATCGCGTACTTTACTATCGAGTCGACTTTCGTTGGTTCAATCGAGTATCGTTCTCAACGGAAGCGTAATTTATGGCTCGCGGACCAGAATGCGTTGAAAGCAACACCTTATCTCGTCGCGAAGTTCGATGAAGAAGCGGAGAAAAGAAGAAAAAGCGAAAGGCGAGTAGACAGAGAAGTATACGGCGTGCTTCCTGTTGCCCTAATCTTCCAGTGGCGGAGAGGGCTGGTTCCCCCGGTCAGGAGTTATTCTCGATAAAAAACGGGCGAGTAAATCAACTAATTTATCGTTTTTGCGATTGGGTAGAAGGTGGGCCGCGGACGCGTTCGGCGGAGCGTAGGCTGCCGGGGAATGGCAGGAATCCCTTTCGCCGTGGTCCAGGATCTGGTCGTCCGTCCTTACCGAGAGCCATCCGTGGGAAAGAATATCGGCTGACGTTCGAGACCACACGGTCGAATTATCGGTGTTTTGGCATGTTATACGGTCCCACCGATATTCTCTCTCTCTCTCTCTCTGTTTGTCGTTATTGCTCGAATTAGCCGGCGCGCGCGCGCGCGCACACACACCTCCTCCTCCTCTTTCTCTCCGCCTGTTTTCTCCCTTGGCCGTCTTTGGACGTCTTCGGACGTCTTCCGCGGAACGAGCAAAGGGAATCTCCTTCGGAATCCACGTCCCCGCCGACTGTGGGAACGAAAGCACGAGATCGCGATTCTCCGTACACCGTGTTCGGACGCGTTCATCGACAGCCAGATTCCTATCCTATCTAGCTTTATCTTTGCCTCTTCTATGCCTGTTACGGGCCCAACTCGGACGGCATCGACGAAGAATTCGCGAAACGCGCCCGTTTGGCCCTTCTTCGTTTAGCGGCTAATTCCTCGGGAAGAATGATCGACCACCGTCACGATTTAGCGCGCATTCTAGGAATTCGTGGAAAGTAGGGCACCAGGAGTCGTCAGCGAATTTCGTCGCTACGTCGTCGTCATCGGTCGAAGAAATTTCTCGTGCTCGTTATCGTTCACCGCGATATAATCTCGCAGGATTCGCGTGTTCCATTTTCCAAGCGGTTACGGTGCATGGTCGGCAAGGGTTCGTTCTCTTCCGCTCGATCGAGAGTAGCACGAAGAATCGACTGGGACACTGTCAGGAAAACGAATCCCTTTGCCCGAAGAAACACGCGACTAGTCGACCGAGTCACGAGCGGAAGGAGAAGCGAGAGAGCCGGTAATGAACCGAGGAAGAGGAAAGGTAGTCGTTTCACGGAGCGAAGAAGCGACCAGTCGGGAACCAAGAGACGTTATTATTAATGTCGAGCAAAAACGCCGAAATACATCATCTCGACCAGCTACGGCCACCTAAGTAGTCGAGACCCTACGGAGAGGGTAGGAAGGGCTTCGAAGCCGATACACCGACACCCTGCTCCACCTGGGTAATTAATGGTTTTACGATATTGGAAATATCTTGCGAGCAACCGAGCAGAATCGGTTCAGGCGTCAAAACGGAAGGTCGATCCGCTCGATCGCCGTGTTTTTTATTTTCTTTTTTTCTTAACGTGCCGTTCGCAGAGTCGAATGAACGAAGAAGAAGACGAGGGAGAATTTGTTTAGGTAAAGCGAGATTATACGGGCAGGACACGGAAGATTCGATTCGACGTCGAGATCATCGACGCGGCGGCGAGGACGAAGACGCGAGGGAAAAAGTCGAGGGCACTCGGGTGTGTACGCGCAAAGAGAGGACCACCTGGTCATCCGAGGACTGGACTCATTCTTCTGTCCGACGTTGGACGAGGCAAGAAGGAGAGACGGCAGCAACTACGCCAGCAGAAGCAGAAGGAGAAGAAGAAGAGGAAGAGGGATTCCTGGTAAATTAGCATATACCGCTCGGATCGGTGACTCCAGGGCTATCCTGGTCTCTTTGTTCTCACTCCGGAGAACGCACGAAAGACCGAAATCGTGAAGCTTCTCGCGAGATACGGACGATCTGGACGAAGAGTAACGGAGAGGCTACTAACGCTTTTCGTTTTCGCGCTACCGCGTGTACTATTGCTTCGACTTATTTGGCCCGCTCCGAATACGCGGTCTCCCGCTGAACGTTACCTTTAGACTTGCTCGCTTTACAAACGGAAGAACATTTTCACGGAAATTATTAAATGTCTGGAACGTAAAGTTGAACGCGAACCACCAGGGGAACGCGATAAAAAGGAGAAAAGAGAAGGAAGGCAAAGGGCCACATTGGACCCACCGCCGTGTTCCGCGAGCCTCGTAATTACACCGCAAGGCCGCCACGAACGAAAGGCGTCAAAATCCTCCTCCTGCTGCTCTCCCCTCTCTCTCTTCTTTTCTCACGCCACTCCTTCTGACCTTTTTCTCTCTCTCCACCGTCAAAATTTGTTGCTCGCGCGATCTCTTCGGCCATTATCGAAATTGATATTTTATCGATGACCCGCGCCATCGTAATCCAATCGGGCCCCTTATTGAGTTATTTCTCGGTAATTACGAATCGGTCACGATAATTCGAGGTTAATCGACCGCAACGATTGCCGTCTACGATTTCTCTCGGATAGGCGCGATAAAAATTTCGTATTTCTTCCTTTTCTCGACAGAGACGATAACAATTAGGATCCGACTACGTCGGCGTCCGGGATAATTTAAGGGTAATATGGTCGAAATTAAAACGACC